CCCCCCACCCCTTCAATTAAGACATGTCAAAGATATAATATTTGTGAACAGATCACCGGAGAGACGGTGGGAGAAGTGAGAGCGGTGACGGGTATGCACCAGAGGAAGGCAGAAATGTCCAGACAAGCGGATGCATTCATAGCTTTACCCGGTAAATGCCAAAAACACATTCTGTTTTGGATATTTTTTTTAATATAATATTGGTTAATTTTGAAAATACTTAAATTAAACATTATTACTACCAGATAGCTTTTTTCAAAATAGTTGAATTAAAAGGTGAGTTTATTGTAAAGATATGGGCTCATGCAGGTGGATATGGGACTCTAGAGGAACTTTTAGAGGTCATAACTTGGGCCCAGTTAGGCATTCACGACAAACCGGTGGGCCTGCTGAATGTAGATGGGTACTACAACTCACTCTTGAGTTTCATAGACAAAGCTGTGAATGAGGGCTTCATCTCACCATCTGCCCGTCACATTCTGGTTTCCGCCCCAACTGCCCAAGAACTCATCTCCAAACTCGAGGTACACACTTCATCCATCCTTTGTCTCTCACATGTTCCTCAAACAAAACGAAAAAAACGACGTCGTTTCGTCTCAGACAAGACAAACGATTTTGCATGGCATGTTTTTGTAGGATTATGTTCCTATACACGTCGAAGATGCCCCGAAGTTAAGCTGGGAGATGGAACAACAATTGGGCTACGCCACAACCAAATCCGAAATCGCCCGTTGACAAGAGATCATTTCTCACTAGTGTTCCCACTAATCTTGAAAAGCCTTCACATTTTGCAAGCATGAAATGATATGTTCAACCAATGCATAACTCATCATGTGTGCCACAACATGATTCTTTTGTGTATGTACATACAAATAAACAAAATGTGTGAGTGATTTGGATTTGAATTTGAGGTTGTCCGGCTCATGTAAAAGAGCGGGCGACCGAGGAGGTGGTGACCAGACCGGAGAGGAGGCCCACGATGATCGCGCTGTTGTACGTGGTGGGCTCTGCTTGCATCGAGTTGTTCCTTGAATCCACATACGTCTCGTTTAGGAACGGTCCTCCGACGAGGCCTCCGGTCGCAACGTTCGGGTTGGGAGCGGTCGACGTGAGCCACTTGAACCCGTCTTTGCACCCGTTCGCTTCGCCCGCGGGTATCGAGGCCCCTCTATGGTGAACGTATTTCGGGTAGTTGTCACCATACCCGACCAGATAACTCATCTTCATCGGATTATCGCCCAACACATAGTCAGCCTACACACATGTTTTTTGACAACCATATTTGTGATCAATATGTAATCTTGGAGTGTTATTTAAAAAAAAATTGAATTTTTGATTGTTGGTTATAAATTATTAATCCAAAATCTCCAATTTCTTGGAAGATTGGCCTGAATTTTTTTCTAAAATTTAAGAATTCTGCCCAATCATTGTCTTGGGCATTTTTTTTTCCTTTAAAAAATGCTTCAAAATAGAAGTGAAAAGGATGTACCTGTGAAATGGCAAACTTCCTTAGATCGGACGGTGTATAAGACTGCCCGTCGCATGATATCTTGGGGGTGCGAGACGTGAGCATGTAGTCACTATAGACAACGGCTAAGAAGGCCGAAGCCACCGGATGCTGCAAAGAGTTCCATTGACTTACCCACACTAAACCAGCTGCAAAACCAAGCCAAAGTGGTTAAACAGCTAAAATCAACCTCTGAGGGGCAATAAGGGCATTATCAAGAAACCAACTCAACCAAAAGCTCAATCCTTGTCGTTTTACCCCATAAAAGGTTTTATATTCTAAAACGCCCTTCATGTGAAGGTTTTATATTCTACGGCGCCCTTCACGCGATACAATGTCAAAGAACCAACTTAACTAAAAGATCAAACTTGCAGTTGTAGGTCCAAAAGAGGTTTTATATTCCAAAAGGCATAATAATATAATATATGTGCACAGACGACAGAGAAAGATTGTTACAGTCAGTTCGGCTGGAGGTGGCTGTGGGAGATTTTGGTAAGAGCCCACACATAACAGCTTCTGCAGTGCTCCTATACTTGAGGAGAACTTGTGAGTTTGATAGCCCCTTTGGCCTAAAGAAACTTACCCTTGACAACAAAACCTGCAATGGTTAAAACTCTCAATGTTACTTACCATTATCGTCCGCAAGATCATGAAGTCATAAGTCCTGTCTAAATTGAGTGACAGTAAGATTCGAACTCCAGCAAACAAAAAAGAAATCATATTTTGGTATTTTCATTATGTTTTACTCCTATTTAGAAAGTTCTCTCTAAAGAGAACTAGGGAAACATGCCTGCACTCCAGCCAGTTTGTTGTCCCAGCTAAACCAGGTAGGATTCCCCCAGCTAGCAAACTCGTCGCCATTTTCACCAGTCACATAATCATGGTACGACTGATCTCCCGTCGCATGGTAGAGCCACGTGGCGGCCCACAAGAGCTCGTCTCCGTACCCGGTAGAGTTGTAATAAGTGGCAACTTTGGGGATGTTTTCGCTGTAAGACCCTCGGTGTTTGTCCGCAAAAGTAAAGAGCTGTTTGGCATGCCTTAAAAGGGTGCTGGAGTATGGAGGTTTGAAGACAAGGGAAGCTGCTGCCATGGCTGCTGCAGTTTCAGCTGCAGCTTCTGTGCCGGGTACAGAAGTGTTGATTTGTATGAGAGGCCTTTTCTCTGTCATGTCTTCAGGTCTTTGCCAGCACTTGTGGTCTATATCAGGATCACCCACCTGCCAAATCAGTGTTGGAACAATGAAGGAAATGTCAAATTTACCCCCTCCCCCTCCTAAAGAAATTGAACTTCTTGTTTGCTTTTTCACAGAGTTTAAGAAAAAAGGGAGATATGAACCTGAATGTAAAGAACATTGGGAGAAGGGTGGGCATTGACAAGGTAATCAGTTATCCATTTGAGTGAATCTTTAGCAGGTTTTAACTGGCCAACGACTTCCATTTGATCACCATACTCGAGGATCGTCCATGCCAGCACTGTTGCTGTATAGGCCATTGGGAACCCGAACTTCATAAGGTCCCCCGCGTCGTACATCCCTTTGCTCAAATCCAGGTTTGCTGAACTGCCATCTTCCATCGCCGAATCCCCTCTCCATGATATTGTGTTGTCTTCCAACTTCCCAGCTGCACCACATTTTAATTGGATCATCTTCCCACTTCACACACAATGTTTGAGCAGAGATAGTAATGGACATTTGGCACTTTTTAGAGAACTTTACCCCTTATACTTTTCTCCTTATTTTCTTTCTCTAGTGTTTTTCACATTCCTAACAAACATTTACACTATGTTTGGTTCAAGGAATTTTAAGGGAAAAGAAAACATTTTTCCCTCATTTTGCTCACCAAAATGGAAGGAATTTGGTTTTCCCTCCTCTAAGTACATTTTGCCTTTTCATTTTCTTTTCTTCTCTAAGCAAACAAGAAAAATGTTTTCCTTCTCATTTTCTTTTCCATTCCCTCTCAAATTCCTTAAACCAAACATAGTGTTAGTGAAGAGGAGCAAAGGAAAGTACATTTGCAAACTAATCAAGAAGTGTAGTCTACACAAGGAAAAGCATTGAATTTATAGAAGCTTCATCAATCCCTTTCAGTGCTTATCCCCAAGATTAACTCCACCACATCATAAACTACACAAATCAATCCATATTAATTTGATGAAGAACAACACTATCAAGGCCTTATCTCTACTTGGAAGTAGAGAAACTCTTTCCAAAAATTAGATAATGTGAGTGCTCGTTTGACAACAGCTTCAACGTTTCACTTTAGCGTTTTGAAAAGACTATGTAATGACAACGCTTACTTTACGAGTTTTCAAAGTTAATTTGCACTATTAAAAAATCATTATCCAAAATGCTAATGCTAATTGAAAACATTGTTTCCAAACAATGCCTAATATGGAGTTACATTTAAACTCATCAATTAATTATGGAGTAATAGTTCATTAAGACAAAAAAAGAAACACACTTAAGGGCCTGTTTGGATGAAGGGAAGGCTTCAAAGTTCAAAGGCCTTAGTATATGTGAGTATTGAAAGATTAATAAAGAAACCATTCTATTGCTTAAAATCAAATAAAGAAACAAAAATAAGAAAGAGGAAAGATCTATTACACTTCTGGACATCGAAGAACTGCATTGCGATCTTGAGGGCATCGCCGTATTTCTGGGTGACGGCGCCGGGTGGGCCCGGAACAGGGGGGGCACCGGAGCCGCCTCCGTGTTTTTTCTTCACGAGCACTACAATGGCAGCCACGACGGCCGCCGCAACCACCAGAACCAGCAGCCACCCACACCAACCACCTTTGGACTTGGACTTTTCTCCCCCACCCATTTCTCCACAAGCCAAACAGAGAGCTTACCGGCAAGATTCAGATCTGCAACAACTCTGAGGAAGAAGACTTGACAACAACAACAAAAAAATCCAATCTTTACCAGAGTTCTTAGATGAATCTTTGAAAAAACGCCAGAAGTATGAGAGCCCCCCAATGAGTCAGTGGCTCATATATCAGAGTTCGATTTGATGAGTGTGGGGATAGAAATTGGAATGGAATGTCGGTGAGAGGAGAGAGAACAGAGTCGAGTGTGGTGGAGGCTAAAATGGTAAAAATGAAGTTTTTGGGGAAATGAAACAGAGCACCGACAGTACTTGCGAAGACGATGAAAATTTTGCTTAAAGTAGACGTCTTGTTGAAAATTTTGGAATTCTTTACACAGAGGGGTTTTGACGTGTTTGAGTTTTACATTGGTTCATTTGCAATTTGCAAAGTCATGGTTATATAAGTTGTATTCCTAGGCTTAGCACAGTTGTCGATATGTCCGAGTGGTTAAGGAGACAGACTTGAAATCTGTTGGGCTTTGCCCGCGCAGGTTCGATCCCTGCTGTCGACGAAAGTTTTTGCTTTTTTGTTCTATTTTTTTACACTTTTTATGCAGTAAATATTCTAAATAATTGTCCCACACTATTTTTGTTCTTTATAATCATATTTTAACGTTTCACCACTATATATATTTATAGTATATTATAATATTTCTATGAAGAAGTATATCTTACATTAACATATTTAGTTATGTAACTACTCCTATTTTGTAATTTTAAATCATATTTTAACGTTTCATTGTAATTATTGTATTTTAAACTATGTATTTTATTGTTTTTATGTAGAAATGTTTTTTTCATTAACTTATTTAGAATTGTAAGGAAGATTATCATTCTCTCATCGTTTCTTTATTTATAATGTATTTTTGTGTACTTTAATTATTCCTCATAATTTTATAATAGTCACTGTCTACTGTCTAGATGTCGGACTACTTCAAGCTAAAATAAAGTTAAAGATTTTGCTCAACAATTTATTACGATGTCGAAATAGGTTTCAATTCTCTCAAAAAAAACTCTTAATATTTATTTTTCTTTGTCGTCTTCTTCTTCTCATTCGATCACACACCGGAGTTCCCCATCGTCATTGATTGCATAAATGATGCCACCAACATTCACAATGTCATTGTGACATTGTCAAACACGATTAAAGCTAGTTGACCCCGATCACCGTACTACATTCACTCATTGAATAATCCTGTGGAATCTACCTGATTAACTATTTCATTTGGCATCCGCGTTAGATCTCAACGTTAGCGTTTTGAAAAGATAAATCGATGATAGCCTTTAACATTAGTGTTTTTCAGAATTAATCTACAGCATTAAAATTTTATTCAAAATGTTCACGGTAATCGAAAACGTTGTTCCTAAACAAAACCTAGAGCAATTACCTAATTACAAAATTAGGGCGAGAGCAATGAAAAACGACATCACGGCCATGAACAAAATTTGGGCGAAAGCAATTACCTACAACAAATAGTTGTTATTTAGACTGACTCACACACACACACACACTCATTCGTAATTTTTTTTAAATGTTAATTACTTTCCCCGTTTAAATCAAATTAAGTTGTTATGAATTAGATGGTGAGGCAAGCATTACATACATATTTTAGATACGAAACTTTGCCACAAGTTTCATAAAACAATACGTAGTAAAGATTAAGGATCATTTAGATTGAACTTTATGAGTTTTTAACACACGTAAAAGATGGCCAAATATGTGATATTATCTTTAGATGCTCGAAATCAAGTTTTTTTTTAATTTCAATCATTCGTGCTAAAGATTTCTTTTAAACTGAATTTCATGAATTGTTTGTGTGTGCAAAATGTCTATAAAATACTAAAACATGTATCTCTAAGGCTACCGGTTACATGATCCAAAAAGAGAAAAAAAAGAAAGGCAATTTTTCTACCAGAGCTTTCAAGAAAAAAATAACAAAAATAACTCAAACGAGCAAAATCAAATGTGGTAATAGATTCATATGGGTCAAATGACATGAGTTTTTTCCACATTTGATAACATAGCCACAGTAAACTAATAGTACTCCGTATTTGTTTAATAAAAAAAATTGTGAATTTATTACTACATTGTATTTGTTCAATACTAAAGAATTGCAGCAAGGCACAAAATCTTAAGAAGACCCATTTATTAGCAACTATATAGGTACCACACTCAATATC